TTCGCGCGAATTCTTTCTCACGCGGAGCCAAGGACCCAGGTATATCTATCCCCAGAGAGATCTAACAAATTCTCCGGTCTTCCTTGATCGTGGGTCCGGCCTTCCCAGGCAAACGAGGTGATTGAAACTCCAGGGGCTGGATGCAGACGCACCTGACTTCAACCCCGGCCCCAAACCCAGCAGCTCTTCGCCACCCCAAGCTCCCTCACAGACCTGCCCAGGTGAGAACCCCACCCACACCACCCTCCCCACAAACCACCTGCAGCTGCGTCTGCACAGCCTAGCGTGGGCCTCGGATCCCTGGGCGCCAGGTGAGAACTCCTCGTGCATGCCGCCCCCGTGTGTTCCCGAGAGGAACTGCACCCGGTGAGTTCCCCGGGAACACCCCTCAGACACGCCACTGGGTGGACCCCAAACACCGACCTTGTGGGCAGCAGTCCGGGCAGGTAGCAGTCTGCACCACTGGGGGGTTCCCCACGGGCTCCCTGGGGGCGCACAGGTCATGCGCTGGGCTGCTCACCAAAAGGTCAGCAGTTCAAAAACACCAGCAGCTCCCAGGGACGACAGACGCACCTTCTACCCCCTTCGCGTTACAGCCTCAAAAGCCCTAAGGGGCAGTTCTACCCTGTCCTATAGGGTCTCGATGAGTCACCATCGAGTCCGGGGCAGTGAACTTGGTGGGGGGGTGGGGGGGGGGTAATTGTGGGGAGAGGGTGTTCCCAGTTACAGAGGGAGCACTACAAACCAGGAGCTGTTCATATTTTTAAAAACCCAAAAGGGGGCCAAACCCAGAACCCACTGGGCTGCTTCACACAGGATCAATCAGCAGTCGGAAACTTCCAGCAGCTTCTGAGAGAGAAAGATGAGAATTTCTCCTGCCGGCAAGAGCCGGGTCTCAGCCCCCGGCAGCAGTTCCACGCCGTCCTGTGAGCACTGACGGTGAGGCTGGTGTGGTTTTGTTTGGGGGGCGGGTATTTGCCCCAATTGCAGAGGGCCCGCTACAACCCAGCTTCATCGTGACCCTTCCTTGGACAGTCACACTGCTCGTAAGGGTTCCTGTGCCGTGAATCGATCCTGGAAGCCAGCGGCCTCATCTTCCTCTTGAGGAGTGCCCGCGGGGTTCCGGCTTCTGAGGTATCAGGCACGTGCTCAACAAAGGCGCCCTCCAAGGGATGCAGACTCAGGGCGGCCTTCTACTGCCCCCAGAGTGTTTCCAAGAGACTTCATGGGAACAGAGAGCCCTACCGTCGTCTTTCTCCCACGGAGCGGCTAGGAGTTTCGAACTGCTGGACACACTCCCATGCATAGAAGGGAGAGGTTTATGTACAAGAGGAATTGAACACTGAGAAAGCATCCCAACCCAGTCCAATCCAAGGCCATAAGTCTGATTTAGCCCGTAGGTCTGATATCAATCTATACGGTCTTCTTCAGATGCACTGAACACGAGTGATGCCAAATGCAGGATGATCACAGGCCAGTGGGTAGAAAGTCTTTGGGTCCAGTCGCGTAAGCATCTCCGCGCTGGCAGGGGTTTCTGCGTGGCTTCTCCGGCTTCAGAGGTCTGGTTGCATCAGGGTAGGTCCATGTGGCTTCTCCCAACTTAGGATGCTAGCATAGCTCCATGTGTCTCGTCAGCTGCAATGACTCCCAGGGAATGGCAGAGAGAAAGTGTCTCCTGCCTCCAAGGAGGAAGTACCAGATTTCCCATAATCCTCAGGAGATGGCGGTGCCCACACACAAGCCCCATTGGCTATGATCTGATTGACAAGCTAGACTCCACCTCTACACTCATAAGCCACTCTTAACTCACTACACCATGGCTCCCACATTGGGATGCAGTCTTCAAATGTCAACTCCTGGGTTGATGGCTGGGATACTCCAGAAAAGGACCAAGCTAGAAACCACATGGTCTGGCACCGCTACGGATGGATCCCGTTGACACCATGAGTAAGGGTGCTGGCGGGTCTAGGCCCTCCCTAGCCCCCAGCATGCCAGGGGCCCCTTCTGTCTAGGTGGCCGACTTGGGCAGCCACTTCCCCTCTGAGAACGGAGGAAACTCCTCCATCGCACTATGAAAAACTGATTATCTTCCTCGCATTGCCCGGCTTCCTTGCAAAGGAGCCGGCGTGTGGACTCATCACTTGCAGGAGTCATTCCGTGACCCGATAGGTGACACGGAATGAAGTAGCCCACCGAGAGTCGTGGTGCAGGGTGGGGAGGGGGTGCTGTTGTAAATCCCACCGCTTGCCCCAGGTGTGAGGTGTTCTCACACGGCGTTGGAGTACACAACCCACACATATGGCCCGCAATTAACCACACTTTCTGTCCTGATGGGAGAACTTTCTACTCCTGTCACCTCAGAAACCCACGGGGGAGACAGTTCTACCCTGGCCTAGAGAGTTAACTCCACGGCAGGGGGGTCTGGTCGGTCGGTTGGCTGGCTTTGGGTTTCCGTCCTGGTAAAGGTGCCCTGTTGGCATGCTGGGTCCTCAATGAGCTGCTGACCACAAGATCAGGGGTCCGAACCCACCAGCTGTTCCGAGGGAGGTGGACGAGACTTTCTGCTCCTGTGACGATTTAGTCTCAGAAGCCCACCCGGGTGGTTCTAACTCTCTCACAGGTCACTGCGAGGTTGGTAGTTCAAAAGCAGCAAGGTCCACAGGAGAAAGGTAAGGCTTTGTCAATTCATGGAGGAAGTGGGCGGGGAGGGCGGGAAAAAGGAGGAGCTGAGACCAAGGGCTCAAGTAGAAAGAAAATGTTTTGAAAAGGATGAGGGCAACATAGGTACAAATGTGCTCGACACAATAGGTGCATGGATGGTTTTAAGAGCCCCCAACAAAATGATTTCTTAAAAAACAGGAGTCTTGGAAACCCACCAAAGCAGTTCTGCCATGTCCTGTAGGGTCTGACTCAGAATCGATGTGCTTTCCTTCCTGATAACCTGCGTCTTGGGGCCCTTTTGCCTCCCGAGAAAGTGCCCCATATCCCAGCCAAGGGGGTGTCAGCTGTGGCCAGGCCTGGCCCACCGAACGTCCGCAGAAAGGGCAGTCACAACCTCCGGGTCCCCCTGGAACAAAAGTACTTTGGTCAAGACCTCACCAGACCACGCTTGTAAGCCAGGGTCGGAGCCCCAACCCGGCCCTGCCGCAGTCAGCACCGCTGGGAGCTCTGTTCCCAACTCACAACGCCCTCCATTCACTTGCCGGTGGTTGGGGGCTGGGGGCTGGGCGTAGAGTTGGTTCAGGCTCATTGCCACCCCATGGGGTGCACAGCGGCAGGAGGGACCCCCGCCCAGTCAGTCTGAGGGCACGCACAGCCGCAGGCTGCTCTCAGCTCCTCGGACCCACGCTCTGCCTCCCGAACAGGGGTGCGAGGCTCTCCATTTCTGCCAGGTGGGATTCCTTGCAAGCCGCCCCACCTCCACCTTTTCTCCCAGATACCATCAGCCCCTCCCCATCCTCAGGTGTCAACTGCCCCCGCCTCCGTTACCCGGATATCCTCAGCCTCCACCCCAGGTGTCAATAGCCCCATCTCCCCTGCTTCAGATTTCAGCCCCTCCCTCACCCCCAGATGCCTTCGCCCTGCCGCCCACCAAACACCCAGCTGTAGGGTGCTGAGGTCTCCATCCCCCCGTACCGATAGCTACCCATTCCTACAGGAGCCCCCATCCCCCCCAAGCCCTGCCCTTCGTGCTCCTGGCGACCCGGGCGTGGCAGGGGCGCCTGATTCAGGGCTTTTTGTTTGATCTCAGCCCACCTCTCTTCGCTGCACTGGGTGGGTTCAAACCATGTTTCAGGGAGTGGCTCAGCGTAAACCCTTGGCAGCGCCCAGGGGCCTTCCCCAGCACCTCCTGGGCAACAGAAAGGGGCACAGGTGACAGGCTCACCTGGCCATCCGGCCATCCACCTCCTCCCGGGACCTGCCCACTAGCCAGACTCCCACCCAGCACTCAGGCTGAGGCATGAGGCCCTGAGCACCAGGTCTGTGCGTCCAGGGGTGTGGCCATCGTTGACAGGCCCTCACTCCGGGAGCGGGGTGCCCCAGGTGCGGCAGGGACTGTGCCCCGCAAGCCTCCTACTAGAATCTTCTATGGGTCCTGGAGGTGGATTCCAACCATCAACTTTTGGACTCGAGGTCGAGGGGCTCCTGCTGGGAACCGGACAGGGGCCCTCAATGCCCTAGCAGGCCGCCGTATGCGTGCACAGGCTAGGTTGCCCCACAGCTCAAGATTCTAATGGGCAGGCCTGCTGGAGGGGACTACCCTAGGGGGACCGCGAGGTAGTGGTGGGACTGGCTCCTACAATGTCCCAAGCTGACCTAGGGGTTCTCTGGGCCCCCAGGACTAAGGAGGTCTCGAGTGAACAGAATCGAGAAGGGGGGCAGGGATGAAGGCATGGATCCCTGCAGTTGGGACACAAAACCAGAGATACATCTTGCCACAGCTGGGGGCCTGGGCCCAGAGGGTGGGCCTGCCTCTCTGGGAAGCTGCTAGTGGACACAGCAGACTCACCAGCTGTGAGTCAACACAGGCCAGCTGTTCGGAGATGGACTAGTGCTACCTAACATGGACTCTCGGTGCCCAACAGGGATTGGTGATGCCTGCCATCCACTAGCGATGCCTGCTCGGCGCTGAAAACAGAGACGCTGTGGTGCTTTATAGAAGAACACCTGGGCTGAGTATTTGCCGTCTCTGAGGGAGAGCCAGACCACCAGCCTCTCCACCTTCAGAGACCTTCAGACTTAACACAGCCGACCCGTCAGGTACCAGCACCCTCGAATCTCCACAGCGTGGCCTTCTGACTCCATGGCCGGGTGGGGTGTCACTGTCTAGCCCAAGTGGCCTGCAGCTCCTCTCACCAGTCCCAGAGGGGCCAGGAGACTTCAAGCCACCATGAGGGACTGCGCCCCAGGGGCCACCGTGGTAGGCAAGGTGACTTCAGAGCCCCAGGTCCCTTGATGGGGACACAGAAACCTCTGAGGAGAGTGGGGGGGGACCCTTGCCCAAGAGAATTGCCATTTATTCCCGAAGTTGCCAAAATCATCACCAAGGGTTCCCCGAGGGTGCACTGAGGGACGACGAAGAGGCTCCAACACTGATTGAGGGGGATCAGGAGCAGAGGGAGGGGGTGGGCAGGGGTGACCCCCAGCTGCCCCTCCCCCTTCTAATGCCACAGGAAAGGGCTCCTCCTCTTGCCAGCACCCCTCCCCCCCAGGTCCAGTTTCTCTGTAGGGAGGTGGAGTGGGGGGCCGTGGGAAGAGGGCGTAGTGTGAGTGGGCCCCAGGAAGGGGTGGGGGCGGGGGGGGCGAGCCCGTTTCACATGCACTCACAACACTGACCTCCGGGGAGCGAAGATGGGGGGCTGGGCCGGGCCAAGCCCCCCTCCCCCACCCCGGGATTATAGGAGGAAGGGGTTAGTGTTGGGGGCTGGGGGGCCCGGGGGCATCATGGGGGGCAGGCCAGGGCCGCCCCCAAGGGGAGAGATGAACGTTGCTGGCGCACCCTGGACCTGGGGCGCAGGGCTGAGGCGCAGCTGGTTCAGGGTGAGGGTTGCCGGCGGCGCAGGCTGGAATGGGTTGGTGACCGACGGGCCAGAGGCAGGGGCACCTGGCGGGAGACAAAGACACAGCACAGAGTCAATGAATGGCCTTCAACAACCCCCCACCCGCCTGCATGCATGGACACGCCCGGACCTGTGCCCTCCTCCCAGCAGCCTCTGGGCCTGGCTGAGCAGGGGGAGGATGGGACTCAGGCCAAGAGGGCAGGCAGGGCAGAGCCTGGGCACACGGGTCACTCACCACTTGGCAGGAAGGGGTTGGAGGCCTTGGCTCCGGGGGGCGTGGGGCCGGGCCGGCTCACCAGCGAGTCCAGGTCCACCAGCGCTGCGTTGGGCCCCAGGAACGACTCGGGCGTCTTCCGCATGGGTGGCGTGGGGGTTGGTGTGGCTGTAGGTGGAGGGCTCCCCACAGCCTCGGCCAGGGAGCCCCCGAGCCCACTCATGTCAAAGGCCCCGGGGCTACGGGCGGGCACCTCCCCTGCAAGCAGCTCCAGCTCCCCTGAAAGGAAGCAGGGGTGGGGGGTCAGGACCCTAGAGGTTGGGGGGGGCTGGAAGCGGAAGCAGGCACCCAGGACGGCTTTGAGCCCAGCTGGGGCTGGGGACCTGAGGACCTGGCGCCCGCCCCTGGCTGAGCAGCTGGGGGGTGGGTTTGGGAGTCCCTGGCAGTTGGCTGAGCAAAACCCTCCTCACAGTGGGGACCCAGACTGACACCTACATCACTTTATCCCCGCCAGTCACCACGACACGACAGCCAGCGGTGCAAACGCCCCGCAGGGTCACACACTGAGAGACGGACAGACGGGAGGTGGAATCTCACCCGGCCAGAGGGACAGGGAGGCCTGATCCAGGCTACCACATGCCGGACCCCGAAACCGTCTCAAGGACGGGTCAGTGAGACAGGCCGAGGCTGCTGATGGGAGCATGCAGAGCAGGCAGTGGCCAGCACAGGTGGGGGCCTGGACCCTGACTCGGATCATAAAGAACGCGCACACACACAGGGCAAAGGACAGGCCAGGAGATGGCCATCCAACAAGCACTGCTGGGGCCCGTGTCAGGCAACCGTCACCCGGGCACCGTGCCCCTCCCCTGCGGTGAGAAGGGGGCACTGGGCAGAGCCCCTGGAGGTCGTCCCCTCCACAGGGCATGGTGGCTTCAGAGCCGCTAGCACCCAGGAGACCTCCTGGTTTGGGACCTGAAGAAGTCTACCTCGTGTGAAAGGCACCCACCAGCCCCTCCAGTGGGGAGAGATGCTCAGTGGGCAGCCACCGGCAGCACAAGCGGTGCCCGCCCGCCCAGCTGGCCACCGTGGAAGGCTGCGGGCACTGTCCCACGTGGGAGGCAGCACCAGGGGCCAAAGCTAAATGAACAAGCACCACAGGCGGTGGCCATCGTCCAAGCCCCCCGGGCGGTGGGCAATGGGAGCCCAGGACAGCCGCTCGAAGGTGAAGGTGAAGGTCGAGTGTCACCAGCACCCCACCAGCGGTGGCGCTCCAGGCAGTTTCTACCGCTGGACCGACTTCAAGACCCAGGCCTTCTCTTTTAAGCCAGGTGGCTGGGTCTGACTCCAGGGCCCACACAGCACCGGGTCCCACCCCTCCCACCCCCGCCCAGGTCAAGCTGGGCAGCTCAGCTCACCTGTGCTGCTCCCCGAGGTGGGCAGGGCCGTCCGCAGTCGGTCAAAGTCCGAGAACTCATCAGGCTCTGGGTCAAATCCCCCGACTGCAAAGGACAGACCAGTATGTTCCACTGCACGCAGGAAGGGCCGCCCCACTCAGCCCAACCCTACCTTACCAGGACGGACAGACACAGACACACCACACAGAGCACACACACACACCAGACACACACTCTCCACACAGGCAGCCCAAGGCTTGGGACCCCGGAAGTGCCTGGTCAGTACCTGCTGTGCCATTGGTGCTGGGCTTGGCAGGAGAACCCCCCCAGGGGTCTGAGAAGGCAGGCGCCGGAGCCCAGGGATCAGAGGCGGGGGGTGGGCCACCGACTGGGGGCCCACCTGCAGAAGAAGGAGACTCAGTGTGAGGGACAGGCTACCTGTCAGTTGGTGCCCTCAGTTCCCTGGGTGCCCACCTTACAGGCCCCGGCCCTGCACAGGCCCCAGCCCAGCTGGCTAGGCCATCCCCAGCACAGGGCCCGGGCCGGCTCCTCTGGGAGGCTATAGGTCTCCCCCATACACCCCTCTTCTGCTCCATTCCACATCCCTGCCTTTGGCAGAGCAGACCGCCTGGCTCTACACCCTGACACCAGCATGGGGGCTCACCTGCGCGGGCTCCCTCAGGGCCACCCGCGCACAGCTTCCCTGGCCCCCCCATCCCCATGCTCGGCCACCGTCCTTGACGGAACATGACACTCAGCTGCACTCACCATCCGCGCCCCCCCACGGGTCAGGCGGGGGCCCCTCCCCAGCAGCGGGCACTGTGGTCCCACCCCAGGGGTCAGCCGTGGGCCCAGCTGGGCCAGCCGGCCGCCAAGGGTCCCCAGAGGCCGGCGTCGGGGCCGTGCCCCCCCAGGGATCAGCAGCAGGCGGGACAGGAGGGCCCCCCCAAGGGTCCGAGGCTGGGGCAGTAGTGGGTGCGGCGGCAGCAGTGGCGATGGGGGCTGGGCCCCCCCAGGGGTCCGAGGTGGCCGGAGGAGCCGGGGCTGTGAAGACGTCAGCGAGATCCATGAGGGAAGACTGCAGGGAGGGAGGGGGAGTGTGAGTTGGGATGGGGGGTTGTCCCACTTGCTGTCCTAGCTCAGCCAGGGGGCCCTCACCTGGCTCAGCCCCACTCCCCAGTATACCACTCTGCCCCTTCAGCCAAAATGACCCTTCCCCTCTGCTCCCTCAAACCCCAAATAGCCCTGCCCCAACTTGTCCCTTGCATTTCTGTCCTGACTCCAGCCTCCCTTCCTGTGGTGGCTGTGCTCTAGTGCCACCCCCCCCCCCCCACTTCCCAGGGGGCCTGCGGGCCGGCCAGCTGATACACTGCTGCACACTGCCCCCTGGGTTTCAGTGCCCTTCCCCACAGCGTCCCAGGGAGACACGTGGCCTCGGAGCAAGACTTTCCTCCCAATTGGGTGACCCGAGGGCCTGCCTTCCGAGAGAAACCAGAACCCCATGTCCCAGCCTGGACCCAACAGGGGCCCCTGGTGTCATGAGACTACAACAGGGGCCCCACCAGAGCCAGAGCAGACAAAACCGAAGAGACCCATCAGCTTGACTTGTGGCACTACCCGGGCACTTGAAGGGCTGAGACGGGGACGGCCTCGCTGCAGGCCCTGGGACAGAGCCAGCCTAGGCACCTGAGCCTGGACACACACCGTCTACCTGTGCAGCAAGGGCCACGGTGCATTCACTCTCGCTCCGGTCACCAGGGGCCTGGGCTAGGACGGCAGCTTGCAGCAGCACAGCCACCGGCAGCCGGGACTTCCAGAGCCCACAGCTCCCCAGCACCACTCCCGTTGCAGGCACCGCCTGACCTAGACTCTGTCCTGTCAGTGGTCAGTACCCCAGGGGCCTCGCTGCAGCCAGCAGCACAAAGAAGGAAAAGGCACGGGTACTGACAGCCTCACTCCCTCCTCCTCAGAGACCCCCACACCCCGGTCTCCCCCTTGCTCCTCCTGGCCCCGTCCCCCCTCACCTCCTCCTGGCCCCCAGTCTCCCTCTTGCTCTCTTCGATGGCCATCTGCAGCCTCAGGTCGTCCCCACGGCGAATGCGCTCTTCCTGTGTGGGAGTTTAGGGGGTGGAGGGGTTGGAAGCAGGTGGCCGAGGGGAGGGGAGGGGAGGGCAGGGCACAGATCAGAGTCTGAAACACGGCTGGGGGGGAGGGGTCCAGACCCCACTGCTGCCCTCAGGACCAGCTCCCACCTGACAAATGGGACTGGAAATAAAAATGGGATGTGGACAAGGTAGGGAGAGGGAACAACCAGGATCCAGGGAGAGTGGGACATGAAGATGCACAGGGGTGCTCGGGTGGGGATGTGGG